TGAACGCCAAGAAACAAAGTTTAGACTCTTTCATTCCTCCTCAAACGCCCTGCACTCCACTCATTCCACATCTTCAGAAGCCTCCCGCTACGCCTTCCCAACCCAGAGGCTGCCCAAATGCCTCCCTCTCAGAGGCTCCTCTGGCCCCCTCTCTCCCAGGCTTCCACCACCAGCTTTCTCACCCATTTTCCTCCAGGAGACTCACCGGGAATGGTGGTGGCCAAGGAGCCAGCAGAAGGGCCAGGCAAGGTGCCAGCAGGAGGCGTGGGCAGAAAGGGGAGGGGACAGTGTCCAGGCCCTTCATCAGCACCATCTGGGCAGTCCCAGACTCCATCACACAGCTGGATGCCTCTCACACAGGTGCCGTCGATGCAGGACACCTCCCCAGGGACACAGTTCACCAGCCCTGCAGCCAGAAAGAAGCAGTTGGCCCCAGGGCAGCGCCCCAGACTTTTACTGTTTGGGGTGCCTCCACTCACTCACAGGTGTCAACTTCATAGTGGGGACCTGGCAGAGGAGGGCTGTAGGTGAGGTTGGGGATCATGAGGAGATGGGCCTTGTGGGAGGGATGCCTGGGGGACTGGAGTCCAGGGTGGTGACAACTCACCCAGACAGGACTCTTCATCAGCAGCGTCTGGGCAGTCAGAATGCCCATCGCAGAGCAGGGCCGGGGGCAGGCAGCGCCCGTCAGCGCAGGCCAGTGAGCCCTGGGGGCACGGGCAGCCCTGCTCATCCGTGCCATCTCCACAGTCATCATGACCGTCACAGAGAAGGGCCAGGGGCAGACAATGGCTGGATCTGCAAGACATCTGCCCCTCCCCACAGCCTGGGGTAGCACAGCCTGGCATGGGGCAAGCAGGCAGGCTCAGGACGCTACTGAAGAGTCGCAGAGAAGCCCCAAGCCCCAGAAGGACCAGAACATTCTGTCCACCCCTTAACCCCCAAGCCACAGCCCCTGGCAATGGAAGCAGTACTGAGGAAGCCACCCTAGGACAACTGCTTCAGCCTCAGTAAGCAGTTTCATGTACAAGGATGGACCTGTCCCTGCTACTGCCACTGCCACTGTCACACACAGGCAAAGACACTCACCCTCCTCATCTGAGCCATCACCACAGTCATCCTGGTTGTCACAAAGCCACCCATGGGGCACACAGTGTCCATTCTCCCGGCATGGGGCCTCTCCCTCTGCACAGCCAGGCACCAGTTCCTCACAGTGGGCACTGTCATCTCCACAATGCCACTGACCTTCCTGGCACGTGCTGAGCACATGGCATCCTGGGATTAGCCACAGGTTGAGCTGGGCTCCTCCTATGGGCTTCTCCCGAGTTCCTCTGCCCCCACTCACCAGTTCCCACAGTCCTTCTGCAGCACAGTCCCTGGTGGGAAGGTGCTGCTGCCCCACTCACAGGGGCAGGAAGCTGGCTCCACGCAGGTTCCTCCTGAGATCACAGAGAGCAGGGCTCAGAGCAAAAGGGCACAGTGGCCCCTGGCCCAACCTTGTCACCATGGCCCCGTGGCCTCTTCTTTGTTTCAGTAACCCCTCTCCTCTACCCCCTCTGACTACGCACCATGCAGCAGAGTCCCCTCAGGACAGAAGCAGCCCTCCACGCAGGCCACGGCCTGGCAGTGCCACCCGGGCTCAGGATGGTGGTCGTGGCAGGTGTGGGGACACGTGGGGCCACAGGCCTCATACATCTGTCCCCCTTCACACTGCAGGGCTGAGTGGAGAGGAGAAAGCCTCGGGTCACTGAGGTGCAAGGGCAACAGAATGTGATGGGACCAAGTGAGCTAGCCAAGGTGACACCCACATAGGGCATAGGGATGTCTGGTGTAGACCTTTGCTGAGACCATCCCAGGGCAATTCGTACAATGCCAGCTCCACATGGCAGCCATTCTTGCATGTTTGGCTCATCTAGAAAAGTGTCTGGCACAGAGGAAGCACTCAATACATATTCACCCCTGAATGAATAAATGACCTGTTCATGGGGTAGGATAAACATCCTTCAAGGAGCTGAGCCTGTGGCAGTACCAGGCATTGGGGACTGAGGGCGGGGTACACTCACGGCAGAGTTCCTGGCTGCGCCAGCGCACATGATGCCCATGCTGGGAGCACTTGTCTGCGTAGGTGGCAATGGCTGAGCAGAGGCACTCACAGTCGCCCCCCGAATCACAGCTGTGGGAGGGAGTGTTCAGCCCCAACCTCCCCTTCCCACCTGCTGAAGCCCCCGCTCTCACTCCAACCCAAGCCCGCCCTTTCTTACCCGCAGGCGTCATACACACACCACTCGTAGTGTTGCTGCGGGGGCACATTCGCATGGCATGGGGCAAAGAGTGGCTGCAGCAGCACCCCACAGCGGGCCTGAGCCCAGCCAACCCGGTGCACATTCACCTGCAGAAACAGGGCAGCCGGCTCCAGCACTGCGGACCAGCCAACACCCTCCCTGGCCTGGCCTCTGGACCCCTCCCCCCCTTTTCTGCCCTCGCTCACGGTGCAGGGGTGTGGCAGGTCTCCTGGCTCTGGGCAGAGGGGATTGAGGCGCCAGGAGTGGGCGGCCAGCTCAGCCGTGGGTTCCAGGACACCCTGGCGGCTCCGAAGGTCATTATTGGCATCTCCATCAAAGTCTCCACACAATCCAGTCACACGCCCATGGAACTGGGGAGAGAGCTGCACCAGAACCCGGGTGCCTAGGGGCAGCATAGTGGAGAAATGACCCTGCTGGCCCTCATGTGGGCCAAGAGAAGGCCAAGGGTCTGTTTTATCACCCACGAGGTGCTACCCACAACAGGGAGTTCGGGTTCCCTTTTTGGTGGAGGAATGATTGGTGGTGATCAATGAAGGGACCTACATTTGAGGGTGCTCAGGGAGAAAAGTAGGAGTCTATTTCTCTAACACCAGGTTGAGGGGGCAGGGAAATTCTCCATCAGGTTGGATTCTGGATGGGAAACCAGGCACCAGGATGGACTCTGAGACCCACCAGTAAAGGAGCCCTCGGTGACTGCAGGCAGGGAGAGCAGCCTGGCAATGCTGTGCCAAGTCCATATGGGGGTTATTTTGGTTTCCCTCAATTTCTCAGTGATGGTTATATTTCTAAAACGCCAACTGCTTGTGTTTGGGTGGTGGGATGTTAGGAGATTTATTTTCACTTCTTTCTAAAACTTGGTATTTTCTAAATGTTTCCTTGGTGTGGAAGTATTGCTTTCATAATGAAGAAAAACATAATTATAAAAACCTAATTTGGAAACTCCGACCACTTGCGCAGGCTGGGAGGCAGTGGTGGCACTGGCCTGGGAGGGGCTGAGTCAAGGCCAGGCAGGGAGGCCAGAGCCAGGATTCTGGCCTAGATGTCAGACTAGAAGTCTGCCCTATAGGGACTTCCTAGGGGATCAGCTCAAGAAGGCCAGGAGGAGGCAGGTTAGGTGTTGGAAGGAAGAGTTTTGCAGAAACCCAATCTGTGTTGCTACGGCTGGGCCTGGGTCTGACGGTCAAGGGCAGGGGCCTGACCTCCGTCCCAGAGCAGGGTGAGGCCCAGGCGAGTGGTGAGCAGCAGAAAGAGGCCGGCACGGTGCAGGCACAGCCCGAGGCCTGTGTAGACCTTGGGGGGTGTCACACTCACTCCATTCACTGTTACTGCCCAGCCTGTGGAGAAGAGAGGCATTCGGGCCCAACCTCCAGCCTCCCCTCCAATCCTCCTTTTGCCTCTCTACCTATGTGACCTTGGGCATGTCATTAGACTTCTCCGGGCCTTAATTTGTTGAGGCCTTCCAGAATTATGATTCCCAATAGAGAGGAAAGGCACCAGCCACACGGCATGGAGGCCAGCCCACCCAGTGAGGAGCTGGTCTATAGTGGACAGACGTAGGGAATTGTAGGCCCTGGCCACCCTGCAACGTTGGGACACCATGCAGGTGTGCCCCCTCTGGCGATGTCATCCTTTCAATGTTGCAGTCACCTCTGAGCATGTGTACAACAGTGCTCTCCAGACGCACGGTCAGCGCCTTGGTGCAGGTGAGACCACTGGCCCCACAGGGCAGGTTCCGGGCAGAGACTGTGAACCGGCCGCTGGCCTCTCGAACCAGCAAGTACTCGCAGGCCCCAGGAAAGGTGAGGGCCAGTCCATCAAACGTCACATAGTGGGGGGCTCCCGATGCCTGGCACCGCCCACTGCACTGCTGGCCTGTGCAGTGCCACCGCCGACCCTGGCACACACTGTGGACAAGATAGGGGAAACAGAGTCACTGAGGACAGGCACTGGAGAGCTGTATCCGGGAGATGCGGCTAGTCTGAGTTTCCAGGCAATTCCAGCAGGCCCTCGGCATGAGGGATGGAGACCTCACTCCCACCACCCCAGCACCTTCTGGTAGAAGAAAGGATGATGTTTGGGGAGCCAGAAGCCACAAGGTCAAAAGGTTATAGGTCATGGTGACTGGCATACCAAGTGTTGCAATCCTCCTGGATGGTGGCATTGGGTGGGTACCACTGTCCACTGTGACGGCAGGGACAGAGGTTAGGAGGCACACAGCGATCATCCTGGGCAGAGGGTGGGCACAAAGGGTACCTTGTAGGGCTGCCCCGATGACCCCCCTACCTACTGTTTTGCGGAGCAAGGGAAGAAGGACAATGCCTTAGGGAAGGCCCTCCTACTGCTCCATGCATCCCCTTCCCAACTCACCAGTAGCACAGTGCCTGGTGGACAGACACAGCCATCAGAGCTGCCCTTGGGGCAGGAGTGGTCAGCACTGGGGCTGTCACAGGTGAGGAGGCAGGCACCAGGGGCATAGATAAGCTCCCTGGGGCAGAATGCCCGCTGTGAGGGGCAGTGGCGAGACGTGCAATTCCAGAGGCCTCTTTCCTGGCAGACACTGCAGGAGATTGGGCGGGAGTAAGAGCCAGGCCGAAGCCTCCAGCATCCTGGCCTGACCTGGTGAGAGTATCAGGAACCCTGACTCTGTGGTCCAAGGCATCTGGGATCCCCTAACATTGAATGAAAACTCAGCCCTGACACTGGAGACTTGAACATCTCAGCTCCCCACACCCTGACACCAGTGCAGGGAGTTGGGCTCTTTTCCGCGCCTTGACATGCCTGGGATAGATATTGTCACCCCTTCCTGCCTTAGCTCCAATAGGGCCATCCTTTGGGCTCTAGGGCAGGACAAAGATACTGGACCACTCCACTCCTAGCCCAGGTAGGAGAGCGATTGCACTGAAGCCTCACCCTCACCCACCAAGCCCTGGATTCTGGCCCTGTCTGCACAGATATGCAACCTGCCTTTACTTCACAGTAACAAGCCGTGTGACCCTGCAAGCCATTTGGCTTAGCAGAGCCTGTTTCCTCATCTGCAAAGTGGGAATGATTCTTCGTACTTTATGCAGTTATTGTAAAAAAGTACAATTAAATAAGATGGAGTACATGAAAGTGCTTTATGGACCCTAAAGTGCTCCACGACTGAGAGGTAGTAATCAGCATTCTGTCACCCCCATTGTGCACGCCGCCACCGACAAGCCTAGACAGCCCACTCATTCTCTCCCCCATCCGAGTGATATCCAGGCCCAACCCTGCTTAGCTTTTGAGATGAGATGGGATAGGGCATGCTCAGGATGGTGTGGCCATAGATCCACCCATTCTCTCTCAAGCTCTACTTCTTCACCCCCAAGTTTTTCCTCTCGCCCCAAAGGTCACTGCCCTTACCAGTGGTTGCAGTCCTTCATGGTGGTACTGCCAGGGGCATAGCGATGGACTCCGAGCTGGCAGGGGCACAAGTGGGGGGGTACACACTGACCCTCAGGGTCCCACAGCAGCCCTGCGGGACAGTTACAACCAGCCACACAGCCGCCCAGCTTGCCACAGTCCTCTGGCTCCCCGCAGTGTCGACCGCATGCTGGGGCACACTCCTGGTACTCCTGACCACCAGAACACAGGACAGCTGGACACAAGGACACATGCAGGTCAGGGGCATGGCCACAACCAGCTTTACCCACTCCCTCCGAACCCCACACCCACCCCTGGAGCTTTTGCAGTAAGAAAAGCCCGGCAATCTGCCAAGGTCAGTCTAGCCTTGACTCCTAGAGCGGAAATGGATGAAGGAGGTGGGAAAAAGCCCAGGGTAGGCTGGCTGGCTGGGCTGAGCCAACTCACGGCAGAGGGTCTGATTCCTCCAGGGAGGTGGGGCACCCTCCTGAGCACAGCGGCGTGCATAGGCAGAAAGCACTGGGCACAGGCAGTCCCTGCTGGGGGCACAGCCACACACGGCTGCCAAGCAGCGAAGCTGGAACGGCTCCCTGTCCACTAGCCCGTGGCACTCCTTGGGAGGAGATGAGGAAATGGGTCAGCTCCTCCTCTACAGAATCTCCATCCTCTCAGTCTGCACTGCTACCTCCCTGGGCTTGGCTGGTCTCCCTCGATCCTCCCAAGAGCCCAGGAGGAAGGCAGGGCAGGTGTTGTCCCATCTTACAGGTGTGAGAGTTCAACCCGACTACCTGGAAGACTGGGCCATGCAGGATGGCACAGGCTGCCTCTGCGAAAGCATAGTGCTGGGAGTGGGTGCTGCAGGGGGAGAATGATGCACTGTCCCCCAAGGGGCACCTGCCCTCGCCTGCCACCTGAAACTTGTTAGCAAAGGCAGCAATGCTGGTCTCCACATCCCCATCTGGTGTCAGGAAGTCGTCCTGCTGGTTCCAGGTGAAGGTGCCGCACAGACCCTGCACCTGGGCCACAGGTGTGCACATAAGAAAGTGAAATCCAGTCCCACCGTGGCCTAGCCCAGCCACGCAGCAATCTCCCTGGCACACCTGGTGGGCATGGCGGGGGTCCAGGGTGATGTAGGCTGCAGAATCAGAGACTCCCCAGAGGATCTGGGCCCCAGGCCAGCGCAACAGCCGGAAGGTGGAGGAGGCTTGGAGGACACTGAGGCCCCCAGCACCAATCCAGGGCAAGCCCACGTCCTGCCCATCGACCAGCACAGCTCCTGGAAGAGGGGGCAAGGTGATAGGTGGTGGTTGGGGGGTGGAGTGGAAGGATAGGGCTGTCAGGAGATAACAACAATGAGACTGGAGGCCACCTGTCCCATCTGAGCCCCCACTGTGGTCCAAGGCCCACCTTAGCACATATTTTTCCTGTCCCTTTCTCTTTGTGGTTGGTGTGTGGGAGGAGCTGAGCAGGGAGCCAGGGTCAGAACCCAGGAAGAGAGTTGGAGGGACAGTGGGCTGAGATGGGCCTGCCTGGTCTGGTCATGCCTCAAGGACTTTTGGACTCACATAACAGCCTGACTTGTGTTTTCCCACCAGGATAGGGCAGAAGATCCCTGGGACAATATTCTCAGGACTGTGTGCCGGCTTCAGAGATGAGAAGGTGGGGAAGTTGAGGCAGAGAGCTTGGTTATAGGAGTCTGGGGGAAGAGTTTTTGAGCTCCCAGGTCATAGGGCTGTGTGGAGTGGGTAGTGGTGCAGGAAACCTGCTGGGTAGATGCCCCAAAGAGGCAAAGTAGAAGCTACCTGAGTCCCTGAGCTGGATGTGGGTGTCCCCTAGAGAGACAGAGATGGCATGGAGGCAGCTCCCCGAGTCGCAGGCCCCATGTTCCAGCAGGATCTGCAGCTGCCCTTTCACGTAGTCCTGGGACAGACAGAGGAAGGTGGTGGCATGGGGCAGGCAGATCCTCAGGCTCTTCAGGGAAGCCTCTGGAGACCTTCTCCACAGAACACCTAAACACAGCCATGGGGGCTGTCCCCACCCGATCTGTGTGCTGACTACCTTCCAGCTAGCCAGTCACTCTTCAAGGTAAGGGGCTCAACCCTCATCAAGGGCTGGTGAGTGCGGATGTCTCTGTGTATGTGTGTAAATGGCCACGAATGTGCGCATGTGTATGTACGTGGAGGCACGTGGGTGCATGTTTGTGTGTGCACGGGTATGTGAATGCATGTGCATGTCTGCATATTGGGGTGAGATGACTCCCTTCTATCCTCCCCATACCCATATTTATACTTGTGTGTGAGTGTACACACATGCATCTTTGGCTGTGTGTTGGGGAAGATGGCTATCCTCTTCCGTCCCTATGGACAGGACATCAGCTTCTCTGAGGACTCTGTTTCCTTGATCTCCTCACCCTATCTCCACTCATGAGAGGTGCAGGAATGGCCTAATGGATGGAGAGATCACCAAGGGGACTCCAGACAAGTGGGAAAGAGTGTGGCCTGCACCTGAACTTGGGAAGTGACCTTACTTTATTGGGGGAGAGGTGGAGTGGGGAGCAGAGACTCTTATTTCTCCTGGGGTTGTTTTGCATGAAGTAGCCTGTGGCGAGCCCAGCCTGTCCCATCTGTCAGAGAGAACTGAGGATGGCTTTTGGTTTGCAGCCCTGGGCTGGTGGTGTGACAGCCAGGACTTTTGGAATTTCATGGGGAAGCATGGGAGGAGGTGAGAACTCAGAGGGGGGCCGTTTCACAATCTGTGGCAGCCATCCCTTCTCCAGCTTTGATTCTCTCAGCTTTTCCTGGGAAGCCTTGTGTTTCACTTATTTATTTAGGGGTTTCCTTACGTCAACCCCGACAACCCTCCCCAGGAGGGACCCAGCTCTGGCAACCACCCCCTCCCCTGAGTTGGCTGTCTGCTCACCTGCAACAGGCTGTAGCGGCAACCTTGGTGGCCCCGGAAGGAGAAGCTCCGCCCATCAAAGGTGTGGTAGTGCCCATCCCCGCCCACTGCACACTCAGCAGGGCACGGGGTCTGGGTGCAGTGCCAGCGGCCATCCTGGCACACGCTGTAGGCACACGAGTGGGACAGCAAGCTCTGGCATCAGTCCCACACCAGGGGGCAAGACTGAACTGGACATGCCCTCCCAACACCCTGGTTCCTTCCCTCCCCTGGCACCACCTCCCATCACTAGAAAGGCAAGGTCTTTAAGCAGGGCCAGCCCAGCGTGGGGCAGGCCTCAGAGCAGGCTGGAGACTTGGGGAAGGCAGGTTGAAGAGAGAGCATGAAGAGAGGAGTCAGAGAGCACCACACAGCCACCAACCCCAGCCAGGCCCAAGGACCCACCAGGGATTACACAGCTGGTGCACAGTGTCACCAGGGGCATAGCGCTGGCGTCGGTGGTAGCAGGGGCAGTGGGCAGCAGGCACACAGAGGGCACCGTCCCAGAATAGGCCGTATGGGCACTGACAGCCACTCATACACTCTTCTCCGCAGGATCCCTCCTCTCCCTGGCCCACCGCCTCACAGCTAGGCGGGCAAAGGGAGATGCAGTCAGAGTAGAGCTGGCCCCCCGGGCACAGGTGTTCTGTGGGCACAGAAGTGGGCTATGAGTGGGCTGTGGTCTCCCACCAGTCCCTGCAACCTCTGAAGAGCTGGCAAGGCGGGCACTCAGGGGTGGCTGCAGCCTTAGTCAATTCCACAGGATGGGGAAGCCAGGGGCATACCACAGAAACCAGGCTTCCTCCAGTGAATGTGGATGTGCCACCTGGCGCAGGCCTGGGCATAGTTGGCAAAAGTGGCGCACACAGCCTCCCGCCGCCTCTCTTGCCCACTGCCTGCCACGGCCGCTGCGCAGTAGGCGAAGAGGCAGGCCTCGTGGTACTCAGCCGGGGGAACCTGCCAGGAGAGAACAGCCCCCCAGCAACAAACACTTTTCCCCCACCAGCACTCCTGTTCTTTGCTTCCATCACGCCCTGATGTATCACCAAACAAAATGAGCCCCAGAAAGGTCCTCAGAGATCATACATATGAGATGTTGCACCTCCCAGACATGAAGCTGAGGACATTCAGTGGCCATCCTGGCACACGTTATGGGGGCATGGGGATGGTTTGACTGGTGGCCCACAGTAACCTACTGGCAGGGCAAGACCACCTGGCTGACCCTGTCTAGCACCTACCTTATGCCCACCTTGGGTACCAGACACCACCTCCACCCCCGCCCTTACCTGAGCATGGCACTGCCCAAATGGACTGTCCAGCAGCTGATGGCATACATCCTGGGCTTCAGCTTGCAGCTGGCCGAGTTCCACACCCATCTCTGTGTCCCCCGGGGAGTCCTCACAGCCCTGGGCTGCCTCCACTGCATCCAGACACCCAGGCTGGGGACAGATGGATACAGACCAGATAGTGATGAGGGACATTAACCAGGACACCAGGAAAATGACCGCTACTCTCACAGCTGTGTCAAGGCCCCATTGTCACACGCACCAACCCACATCCTGGAGCTGTGGAGAGCAGCAACATGGCTGCCCTGAATGAGGAGGTAGAACCGGGGTCACAGTCAGTCACAGACAGAAGGTAGATAACTAGCTGGTTCTCCAAAGCTGGTCAGGGACTAGGATGGTGAGTGTGGTCCTCAGATGGCAAGTTCATAGTGGGCAGTGGAGTGGTGGGCAGCACTTCACACTGAGCTTCCTGTGGGACCTCCCTGAGAATCTGGGAGAGCGCCAGGCACCATCCTAGGGAACAGTCAGTGATGGAGCCAGGCAGGGGTTTGGAGGTGCAGGAGTCAGGGGCCAAGGAGAAGCAGACAGGCAGAAGGGAGGAAGCCTGGGGTGTCAGTCTCACCTCCGAGTCAGGGATTCTCCAGGAATTTCCAAAGGTGGATGCTAACACGACCAGCTCGCCACTTGGCTCCACAAAGTCATCTGAGGAAGGGTGAAGCAGGAGTACTGAATCTGGGGTCTCCTGTCTCCCTTTCCCTCCCATACCAGCAACCGAGTCATACCCCACTTACCCTCAGGTCGGCCATTGTAGAGCCCACAGAGACCTTGTGTCTGTCCCCAGGTCTCATGGTCCACAGAGATGGAGATGGAGCCGGCTCTGTCCAGCCACACCACAACACCCAGGCCGCCTGACAGTACCAGCCCGTCTCCCAACCACTGCAGGCTCAGCCCTGGGTGGGGAAAGGCATCACTTACCCTTGTGGCCACACTCCCCACACCTCCCACTACCACAAGGGTTTGAACTGCCCAGGGCAGGAGAGCAGAAGGGAAGGAATTCTACAATCCTAAAGAACTCACACTTTATACCCAAAGTGTATACTTTAAAGCAGAGCCATTGTTTTCCATCACAGCCCTGTTTGAGCAGTTCATGAAGGCTGTGAATGCCCTCTTGAGAGGGTAAACTACAAACAAACTATAAAATGTGCGCGCACACACACACATGCACACGCACGCAGGCAGGAAGCTTATCCTCACCTCACCCAGCCCACCTAGGACAAAGGTTCCGGTAGGAGGAGAGCTCTCCAACACTCAGCACCAAAGTGCTTCCTCACAACACTCTCAAGAGGCAGGTGGGGAAACTGAGGCTTGGGAAGGCCAGTGGAGGGATCTGCCTGAGGTCGTCCTCAGAGGGGGTTAGTGGGGTGGGTGGCAGAGAATAAGAACTAGACCCATGTCCTCCTGAGTCTTCAACTGGCTCCAAATCTCCAAATGTGTCCTAAAAGCAATGGGGCTCAGTCCCAAACTGGCCCCCACAACTTTTCTGAGCCCCACCCAGGGGATGGAAAGACTCTCCCAAGGAGCACATGGGCTGGGCAGTCTCTTGCTCCCCCCATGCCCTCACCATGGAGCAGCCGAGACTCCCCTTCAGGTACCAGCTGCCCCTTCACAGAGACATTTCCAGCCTGGATCAGTACCTCCTCAGGTCCCATTGTCACCAGGACCTTGGGGAGACACACAGTAGAAAAGGGATCAGCAGCTCTCTTTCTCCTATGCCCAGCCTCCTCCCTGTGGCTGTCCCTGTCCCCTTCCCTCACCAGCTGACAATGCCTAGGCTGAGGGCAGTGGTCCCTTGGCCTGAGGTGGACAGCCCAGCTGGAATCAGCCGCGCCTGCTAGTAGGTAGGTGCAGCGGCCCAGGAAGTGGTAGTGGCGTCCATCAAAGGTGCGGTAGTGGAAGCTGGACCAGGTGGCACAGGTGGCTGAGGAACGCTGACGCTGGCTCCAGAGTTGGCCCACGGCCCCTGCCAGGGGCTGCAGGAGGGTTGAAGAGGAGGCACCACCTGGGTGAGACATACCACCTGTGAGCCTCCCAGCAGGAGGCAGAGGCAGAAGGCGAGGATACAGGGCTCCTGGCAGAATGGGAGGCAGGAGGACAGGGTATGGTCACTCCATTGGGCCAGGGAGTGGGCATGGGCCCTGCAGAAAGGCTCAGAGCTTAAGAACTCCATGTAGGAGTGCCTGGGGAGTAGGGAGGGGTGATGGCCAGGACTGTGACTATCTGACAGGCTGGAGTCTCAGACCCACCTGGCAGGTGTCGGCCGGAGCAGCTGAGGCAGGCCTGAGAGCTGCCATCCTGCCAGCTGCGTCCCCAGGGCTGGGCACAGCACTCCTCCAAGCTTCTAGCTGAGGCATTAGCCGAGCCTGCCTGAGGCTGGCACTGCCATGTGGCAAAGCAGTGGCCTTCGGGGCTAGCTCTGGCAAGGGCTATGGTGGGTGGAGGAGAGAATGAGGCAGGCCCGGGCAGTGAGCATGGGCACAGTCTGGAGCTCTCAGCCTGGCCCGGTTCCCTCCCCAGACAGCCTGCTATCTCCCTGAAATCACAGATCTGGACTATTCGCCCTCGTCCAGGACCCCCAGAAAGTACCGCTCCCCATACCGACTCGGGGGCTTACCCTCTGTACAGTGGGGGCCCCCCCAGCCTGGGCAGCAAGCCCTCACTGTCCGGTTCCGTGAGGCAGGCCGGGTTTCTGCTGGTCTGCGCCCGCCGGGCAGGTGGAAGTGGGAAGGAGATGTTAGCGTTCGGCCCAGTCCCATCATGAGATCGGGCCTGGGACACTCAGTCTCAACTACCCTCTAAGGGGCCTCATCATATAATTTCCCCTGGCCTTACTTTTGCCATGTGCAAAACTGAATGAGACTAGGGAGACAGACTGGGGAGGGGCAGGCAGAGGGAGCAGGCTTTGGGCCTCTCCCTGCTCTGCCCACTGTGGTGCCTACTTACACCCCTCCACCCCAAATCTCACACTCTCCACCCTTCTCCAAACCCATTCAGGACTTATTTCCCAAATGCCTGTTTCCGCCAGATCCTCCCCCATCCAGGATGTCCTGCCTGTCACTCCTTTCCTGTTTGGCAGACAGCCCAGTGTCTGACCCTCACTCACTTGTAGATGGGACAGAGCCCGGGTGCTGGGGGCCAAGTGAGCTCTGTGCGGCCACTCCTGGGCAGGTCCAGCCGCCAGCCCAGGCGGCTATAATAGTCAAGGCTGGAACAGGGCACTAGGTCCTCCTGACGGGGAGCTACTTCCTCCTCCACACGGATGGTCTTGGTCCACTCACACCACCGCCTGTCCATGATGGGGAACCACAGCTGCTGCCACTGTTCTCTCTGTCACCAAGTCCTGTGACCCCACTCCCAGGGGAGGTTACTGAAGCAAGGAAGAGGTTAAGGTTGGGAGACAGAAGCATGGGAAGAAGGGGGTCTGGTGCACCTGAAGGTACCTGGGCACGGGACAGGAGGAGGATCTTGGTCAGAAGGGTTCAGGGTGGGCTGCTTACCCGCTAGCCAGTGTCCACGCCATCCCAAAGAGGAAGGCAGGGAGCAACATACTGCCCTCACCCCTGCCTCACCAGGGTACTTGGGGGAATGTGAGGCTCAAGCCTGGGGGAGGTAGTGCTGCTGCAGGTGAGCAGAGAAGCCAGCGCTGCACTCCCCCGCCCACACTGCTGTCCGCTGCAGCCCAGCAGTCAGTAGCTGGGACTGGGGAGCTTTTATCCCAGCCTCATGCCCAGCGGCACCAGCTGCCCACAACCTGATTGGCCCTGCCACACCATCTCCTCCTCAGAGGAGGATCGCTCTCCCTGGAAACGGTCCCCTTCCTGCTCCTTCCTAGTGTGTATATGTGTGCCTGTGAGGGGGAGGGGTGGGGGAATGGGGGGGGGTCACAGAAGGACATTCTGAGCCTGTGGTATTTCCACACTCTCAGGCGGGACCACAAATTAATGTGGGACTCTAGGCAAGCTACTCTCCCTTTCTGGGCCTCAATTTTCTTACCAGTAAAAACTTCAGGGACTTCCCAGGGATGCCAAATAAGACTCAGGGACTCCGTGAATTCTCTGCAATTGTATGTGTGCACATTTCTCTGAGGACAGTTCTTCAACATTTATTAGATTCTCAAGGGGGCATTCCTGGGCTAGATGATTCATGTGGCCTTCCAGCCCTGAACTTCTGCCCTGATGATGCTCCCTTTTCTTCTCCTGCCCCTCTCCCTCCAGCACTCAAGAGTGAGGGTCAGTGAGCCAGAGCCAAGTGTCCAGGGTAGCTGGAGTTCCCCCAGATGGGTGGAGACAGGTGGACAGCATGTCCCCTTTCCTTGTGGGGTCCAACTTCTACTGGGAATGTTTATGTGTGGTTGGTTGTGTCCTTCTGCAAGGATCTTCGGGAGTCCCTGTAGCATAGATCCAGAGAGCTTGGGTTGAAGAATGAGAGAAAGCCTCTGGAAGGGGTGCCAGCTGGGGGTGGGTCAGTTTCCCTAGTCCTCAAGCGGAGCTGAACCGGATGGAATAAACCCAAAGTCTGGTTGGGAGAGGGCCACAGCAGGCTCCACAGGGAAATCCTGGTTCCATCCTGGTTACCAATAAAGCTCCGAGGACACCCAGGCTGGAATGTGGCCTGGACTCCCTCCATCTCCTGAACCTAATGTCCCACTGAGCATCCTCCACAGTCAACTCCCCCTGCCCCCAGCCCAGGAGGCTGCTAGGAACAAGAGCTGAGCCAGGTATTCTCTCTCCTGGGTCCGCTATTGGTCCTGGGGCCAAAAGAGGGTCCAGTGTGAATCCTTCAGGGGGCTCATGGGCCAGCTTCCCCAGAAGGGGGCCGCACTCACAGCTGAACACTGCTCCTTTCCTGTTTTACATGTGCGCTCCCACTGAGGTCTCACAAGGACAGGCACAGGTGCCCGGCTAAATCCCAGCATACAGAGTGACACATTCTCCTCCCAAGGCCACTCCCTTCATTCTGGAGGTAGAAGGGTCTTCACTGCTAAGTCTGAGGGACCCAGGCTATTCCAGGTATGTCCTGCTCCCCTGCCTCTCGCTCTAATCGTCCACATATACAGACGGCCCCCCTGGTGGGTGCAGTGCTTCTCGGCTCCCAAGAAGCCAACCTCGGTTGTTGTAGTCCGATTTCGCAGGCATCCCCAAGCAGGAGTTCTGCCTCCAAGGCCATTTATTCCCCTTCCCTTCCAGATAGACTACCTCCTAGCTCGGGGTGCAACCGTGGCCAATAAGGCATCACTTGAATTGGGAAGAAACACGAGTCACAGCCGCCCTTGCAGAGGAAGATGGAATCCAGGGGAGATAGGAGAAAGATCACGACGAGGAGATCTGGAATAACCAGCCCGGATTTTAGTTGGAGGAGGACAGGATGTTGGGAGATTTCAGGAGTAGGGGCGCACCAGTGGCAAGCCGGAGAGGAAATGTGTCCGGGACAGGGAGGGCAAGTGGAGTCGCACGAGAAGCCGGATCTGAGCGCTGCCCTCCACACCTAAGCGGAGGAGGTTTCCAGGCCGGCAGGGAGAACCACCCCCATTGGGCCGAGAGACCGCTCCTCTCTCCAGCCTTCTCCCTGCCCCTCCCATGGACCCCGCCCTCAGAGGCTCCGCCCAGCCCCGCCTCAGCCTCTCCCCAAAGTGCCTTCGCTCCGGCCCGGCCTTCTTTGGGGAACTGGGCTCGAAGCCCCCTCCCCAGCTTCTGCTTGGAAGGGCCCGTTCTCGCAGGCACAGGGGCTCAGCTCTCTGTGGCCTCTCTCCAGGGCTCCCGCGGCGGGTCTCCGATCGGGTCATCAGGACTCAGGACCCGGGATGTGGGTCTGGGTGGATCCGGGTGGAATCCGGGTGGAGAGCGGGGGCGGGGCCGGAGTTTCCTAGACCGACCCCTCCCCCCCA